GCCCATTTCATGAGTAAATGGCGTACCGTTTTGAGTCACATTTAAAATGCTTGTATGAAGTTAAAAGACCTTTTATTGCTGTTTTGCATACAAGAAATAAGATAGGACGATTGTGATTTTCCTTTCGAAACATCTTGCTGACTTTGGCATTTTTTCAAACACCAACAACATATCTGAAGGTTTGAGCTTTGAAATTGTCATAAAATGTTTATACAAACATTTCATTGCAAATAGAATACCATGAAATTACATATTGCATAAGCAATGATTTTCAAAACTTCAAAATTCATCGCTGGTGTTCTTTGAAATTCGTGTTTTCAATTGATATAATAAACCTTGTGTTTATGAAGAATAGTCATGTCCTCCATTAGGATCATGATAGCTTTTCTCCTCCCATTGGTTTTGTAAAAACGTTTCTTGTACCGGAGTGTATGTCAAGAATAATACGAATCACAGCTCAATATCCCCAGGATCGTTAAAGTAATCACACTTTGTTTTTACATTAGGCAAGCTTAGAACCGACCAAGATTCATGACGTCACGTCACTATGTTTAGTGGCGATATTACTCTCGCAATGATTCAATTATCGTGAAATAGATTCGTATGCCAGGTTTGTCTGACAATTTGCTATGTTTTTTTACGGTTTTAATGGAACTGCAAAGAAATTGTAAGACAAAGATTTCTAGTCCTGGTTCTACGACAAGCCATTTCTAGCTTTCTACTCTTCAACTATTGGTGATAAATGAGTTGAGGAGTGATCGGATCTCTCAAGCTACCATACGGCCATGCTTTATTGAATAACATTGGCAATGCCTCTTCATGTCTTTTTACAAACCTGTTTTGTTATATTTTCGTTTAAAGATTTTGAATCCATTCGTTATGGAGAATATTGAACTTCAACATCTTTGTCTTTTGGATTGATGTAAGCATGAGGAAAAAGGACTTCGCAAAAAAAATATATATGTTTATGAAAAATGACATAAAGGCTACAAAATATGTTAGCAGCTGAGATGTGGAAGTCACAGCATAATAATAACAAAATAAAGTTGCTTTGAAATAGAATGAATTTGTGATGATAGGGTGTGAACTTTCCATACTATATCTCACCACAGACTCCTGTCTCATCATCTGGTTTTCCAGTTTCACAAGGATATTAGTCAATAGTTCACAGGTTCCTCTAAATTCAGTTCAAGATTCTAAATGTTTGAATTTACAGGAACCTGACTATATGGAATTTGATGGCTTAAAAAACCTTTCTGTAAGGAATTTGATAGCTCTAAACAACCTCCCTATAAGGAATTGGAGGCTCTAAGGAACCTCCGTGTAAGGAATTTGATAGCTCTAAGGAACCTCCCTATAAGGAATTTGAGGCTCTAAGGAACCTCCGTGTAAGGAATTTGAGGCTCTAAGGAACCTCTCTGTAAGGAACTTGATGGCTCTAAGGAACCTCCCTATAAGGAATTTGATAGCTCTAAGGAACCTCCGTGTAAGGAATTTGAGGCTCTAAGGAACCTCCCTATAAGGAATTTGATAGCTCTAAGGAACCTCTCTGTAAGGAATTTGAGGCTCTAAGGAACCTCCCTATAAGGAATTTGATAGCTCTAAGGAACCTCCGTGTAAGGAATTTGAGGCTCTAAGCAACCTCCCTAAAAGGAATTTGAGGCTCTAAGGAACCTCCGTGTAAGGAATTTTATGGATCTATGAAACCTCACTTTAAGGAATCATATGGCTCTAGGGGCTTGCCTTTATAACATTACCTGCAAGGATCCTCTCTACTTAAAGGGACAGGATCCTGACTTTGTAAGGTATTGAAAATGTCCAAACCCAAAGGCATTTGATTGCTCAGGAGACCTTGCTTTCTGGCAGCATGCTGTCCTATGGGATCAAGTACATCTGCCAACTCTTACCACAGTCTCAGGAGTCTAATAGTTACTGGATGATTATGTACACTTCATTGATGATACATAAATTATTCACTAGATTTTACAATTGTCTTGTAATTTCTAAATTTGACTGGTTTGTTTTGGGACATGTGGTGTGCTGATGATCTGTCTTGACCTTGAGGCTATATTTGACTAACCTTGAGCTGTATTATGTCAAGGTCCCAGATAGAAAAGTGATTTTTCTCAAACATTAAAAGTGAATGTATTGAAAAAGTTTAAAGGTTCTTGCCATTGCTTAATTGGACCTATTTATTCTTCTGTTTTTTTAGTGAAAGAATGAAACAATCAGAATGCTGAGCTACACTGGTGTTCTAATCAGCTGAAGTGAAATAGCGTATTGATCATGGTCAATTGAAAGCTTATGATGTGTTCACTTTGAAGCTTTTAGCAAATACGTATGAAACATGGTTAATTAGGAAAGCAGCACGGTTTGCATATTTTGTTTTATGGTATATCACAGTTAATTTGGAGTACGGCTTCTTAGAACATCATCATTAGTTTCATTGATACCTTTAGAAAGACATAAAGACATACAGGAAGTTCAATTTATAAAAATTTGCTAGGCAACAGAAGTTCGAAATATGTTCACAAATTCAACACTATATTTCTTCAGTGAGTATCTTTATATCTGCTAACAGATATAATAAAGACAGTGGACTGATGAAATTCTAAGATCAAACAGACCTGATCCAAACTTGATGTAACAGGCTTCCAGAGAATCCACATTTCCTAGTAGCTATAGTATTGCCAATGCTGTTCGAGCTTGGAAAATAAGAGCTAGGAATTCTGAAATTAGGACAAGTTTCGGCATGAAGAATAGTTCTAGTGTCGATAAGGACAAAACTACAACTGGTATACAGACCTGTTCAACACTGTTGCATCAGATTCAATTTTATGCTTGCTTTACTTTTGAGTGGTGGAATTGGTTTTTGAGATCAAAGGAAAGTGTAGCTCCATGTACAGCTTGTTTCATGTCGAACTGGTGCCAACATGTCTGCTTTTAGAATGCTGTGAAATCAATGATGGTTTCTTTTGATGTTAATGCTCAAACACTGGGTTGCATGATATGGTCCAACCAATTTGATTCTGAATCGTGTCATTTTATGAATTTAAATATGGAGAAACAGAACATGTGGTGGATCCTTTTCCAGACGTTAGAACTATTAAGTTCTTGACTTTGTAAAATATTTTATTTCGTTTTACATCTTCACAATGTGTTGGAGAAAAGAAGGAGGCCATTTTTTGTACGTGGAATTTCATGTTGGCACGCTTTTTTTAAACCTGCACCATGATGTCTTTATTGTATAGATTCTATATAGTAGAGATGTTTAGGTAGATATCGTGTCCAACGTTGTAACCTACTGCAATTCCAAACCACATTACTCCAATATGGTAGATCGACATGTAAGGTGTACTAGTTCTGTTTTAAATTAAGACCATTCTCTTTGAAAGCGAGTTTCAATAAAACCAGTTCGTACTTATATATATATCAATTTGATTTCCCAATGGTATACTTGATTACTGCAAAGAAACATGTTGATACAAATGAAACATTTATGTGTTCTTTGTACATTCACTAGGAGGTCAGATCAGAATATTTAGGATTTCAGTTGTCAGAACCAAAGTGGTATACAGATGTGGTATTAGTGGAAGCCATGCTGGTTTCCAATATGGTGTAAGCAGCTAACGTTGTCTTGCATATTGCGACGAGTCAATCTGCATGTCAAAATGGAAGCCGCCTTTCCTGTGATCGGCAGACGTGCGATTCGCTCGCTGTCCTATGCAGAGATCACCAGGATAGGTTTACCAGAATGTAATATTGATTAGAATATATGTAACTGTTTCGGCCATTGGTGATCTGTAAGAATGCGTTGGTATACTTAGTAATCCCAGTGCATATTACTTGACTAAGTGATTATTTTGGTCGATGAGAACACAGTACTGATTTTTGAGCCCACATCAATAATACTATGCTTGGTTTACATTGAAACATGACTTTGCTATTAGTGTTGTACCATCAGAGCGAATGCCGTGTCCCTGGAGTTTTAAGTACTAAATACTGTTTCTGTTCAAACAAAATGGATTCCAGCTGTTTGGTCCTTCTATTTACATCAAACATTAGCCCTAGATGTACAGCTTTAGAAATTATGGAATATGCTGTTACTCTAATTTAATTACGTAAACTTCATTTACGAAATAATTTTGATTTAAATAATCTAGAAAATATCAATTAAAAATTCTTTTTTATATACACAGAGGATATTCTTCTCTGCCTGCATCCTTAAATAATTAAACTAAACAATGATATCGTTGGTTTGATGGATGTTTAAAAAAAAATTGAAGAATTGTATAATATATTACTTGTGATGAAGTAATGCTCATTTATTGATGAAATAGGTTAAACAAAGCCAGTGGTGAAAAAATACAATGAAAAATATCAAATAGATGAAGTGGAATATTGTTACTTTCTCGAAACACCTGGCCTGAAAGAAGCAGATTTTAAATGTGTTTCATTGAAACTTGAATTTGGAATCATGTGCCATTTCTCTTTGAAAATTATGGCAGCCATGTCTATCCTGGTGCGTCTTTTTCATGTCAAATATTAATATTATACCTCCAGAGCATTAAACCTAACTCCTCAATGATTTTGATGAAATCAAGTAGAGGAATATGTATAATGAGAATGTGTTCTATTGTGTTAAGGTCATTGTTCCTATCTATAGAAATTTGACGATGATAATAATTTGCAATTGGAAGCTTTAGGCATTCAAATTTCAGACATTTTCTGGTTTTTGATAAGTATCATACTTACTTAAAGGTTCATGTTGATTTCAGTTAATTTTTCATTGACACAAAAACGGATGACCAGGTTCATTCTTGAACTAGCTTTCAGTTTTTTGTTAGATTTTTTACAGAAAAGTTAAAAGTCTGAATTGAAAGTCAAATAAAAAAAAAGTCGGATAAAGGGAGAAAAAAACCCCACCAAATACAGCATTAAAATTTGAATAGCGCTGTAATAGACAAATAAGTATTGATCATTTTTTGTTTCTGTTGCAGCGCCATGAACATCTGTCGGAAAAGTGGGATCTGGCCAAGAGTGAGGTTCGCCATGACCAATACGAACAGCTCCTTGAGAAGATTGCTCTGCAGAAAGAACTTATACAGAAGCAAGATCTCTACGCCAAAAAGAGACGAGAAGAAGCTGACAGACTTCAACTACAGGTAACATCCATACATCTGATTCTCCACAAAATATTGTACAAAATAGGAAATCATTCCATGAAGAATGGTTTGACTCTTATTTCTGAGAATATGGTTCTCTCACTGATTTAGGTTAGAAATTCTCACTCCCCACTAAAAATAGTGCTTCCCTGTTCATCCTTGATGTAAGCAGTTGTTTTAATTGACTGCAGTAACCAGTTTCCTGTTGCAGGAATATTTTGATTCCGTATCCTGTTGTCAAAATTGCTGTGAATTTAATTATCATTTTCCGCTAAAAAAGAAAATAAAAAAATTGCTATTGAATGCTTATGGTTATGGCCATCCTAAATCTGAAAGCTGGGTCAACTTACTAAGTGTTATATATCTTGCAAACGTCAATATACACGTACTTTGAAGAGAGGTATTTGATTTTTAAACCAAAATGAATCGAATAATTTATATAGGGGCTTCACAGTCCTGAAAAGAAAAAGAAAGTACTAATTTTTGAAATTCATTTAAAGTTAGTTTAAAATCACAGAAGGAAAGCATAATTTTAAAATTCTGAGCCCTTGGCCTTGAATAGTTCGTTTTATCCCTCATAAAATTGGTTTAAATTTGAAATATATTTGAGGAAATACACAATTGAACTACTGAATTGTGATCTCCAGTAGAAAAGTTTGCTTTTCTTTTTCTGCAATCTGCCTTTTTTTAACTTATTTGTTAATATGAGACTACATCCTGATCAGGAATCTCTTGGATGCTTTGTCTGTAGAAAAATATTTGCACAACTCATGAATGTTTAATATGGCATTGACTAGTTTGGGTTATAGAAGCATATTCACATGAAACATGCCTAGCTTGCAAAATTAACAGTTGAATTGAAGAAGAAAAAACTAAAATAAAAATAATAATCTGTACTGTCAACATGCGAGAAACTTGCCCAATGTATGCATATTTCATGAACGTATTAGTTTGTGTTATTCACTGTCTGTCACTTCTAGGTTTTGTTGTATCAAGAGTTTGCCTGAACTCCAACCAATTATTGTGTAATTCAGAAACAAAAAAACAGAATTTAAGAATATGATCTTTGGTTAGATTAACTTACTACATATCCAGGATACATGAACTAAACCACATTTATCTAAAACTCGCTGAATCTGATGGTGTTGGGAGTGAAGGGAAATATTCTAGAACTTTGTCAAGGTGACCAAAGAAAAGAAACCAGTTTCATTTTTGTGTATTTTTGAAGTGTGTAGGTTATATACTTGTTGTGTCTGTAGCTACAAAGACAGAATTGTGTTAGCAAACACTTTGCCTTTTAAAGGCAATTTGGTTTCCATTGATTTGTGTTAGTGAGGAGTTTTTAGAGTTGCTATAGCATTGAAATTATGTTACCTCGGAAAGTTGAATTGTTGCCATGGAAATTATGTCACCACAAAAAGCTTAATGGTTGCCATGGAAATTGTGTTACCACAAAAAGTTGAATGGTTGCTATGGGAATTGTGTTACCTCAGATAGTGTATGTAGTCAAGGAATTTGTTTAATAACACAAAGTTTAAGTTGCCAAAAAAGTTGTGCTCAACAAAAAGTTAAATGGTTACGAGAAAAGCATAACCATGGAACTTTGCCATGAAAATTTGTATTTGTACAAAAATTGAAAGTCACAAAAGAAATTATGTTATCTCATAGAGGTTCATTGTTTCCATGGTTATTTTCTTGCTTTGAAAGAGTTTACATATATTGAAATTTAATCGATTGGGTTGGAAAAATTAAATTGCTTCTGTGTGAACTGAATTTCTTAAAAGACAAGTTATGTTTTTTTCAGTTGCCAAGTATTGTCATTAGATGGTCAGTTGATGCTGTAGCTATGAAAAAGAACATTTTCAATGATAAAGAATGATGCTTAAGTAATTTGGGAGAATATTCAATTTAATGTTGTATGTGATGGGTAAACATCTCTATGATGTAAGGAGGAATAGGGGATCATAGTTGCCATGGAAATTTTGTCACAATGGAAAATTAAACGATTGCCTTGGAAAAAGTGTTACCATGGAAAGGTACAAGTTTGTCATGATATTTGTTTAAAGTTAGAAGTCAGATGAGCTGTATGGATTTCTTGTTACCTATGAGTTGGTGGATCGTTACAAGAGAAATGGGACCATTGCTGTCTTCTCAAGGGTCTGGTCTCAAGTGGTGGGTAGATTTAGTATATTAAGGAGTCTAGCACCATTTGAAATCAGTGCTCTGGTGGAGAATGGATCACCAGACACCAGACAGAGGCTAGAACAACAAGGCACCAGATATAGACTGAATCACAGGGAATGGAATGGAGACTAGAACAACAAGGCACCAGATATAGACTGAATCACAGGGAATGGAATGGAGACTAGAACAACAAGGCACCAGATATAGACTGAATCACAGGGAATGGAATGGACACTAGAACAACCAGGCACCAGATATAGACTGAATCACAGGGAATGGAATGGAGACTAGAACAACAAGGCACCAGATATAGACTGAATCACAGGGAATGGAATGGACACTAGAACAACCAGGCACCAGATATAGACTGAATCACAGGGAATGGAATGGAGACTAGAACAACAAGGCACCAGATATAGACTGAATCACAGGGAATGGAATGGAGACTAGAACAACAAGGCACCAGATATAGACTGAATCACAGGGAATGGAATGGAGACTAGAACAACAAGGCACCAGATATAGACTGAATCACAGGGAATGGAATGGAGACTAGAACAACAAGGCACCAGATATAGACTGAATCACAGGGAATGGAATGGAGACTAGAACAACAAGGCACCAGATATAGACTGAATCACAGGGAATGGAATGGAGACTAGAACAACAAGGCACCAGATATAGACTGAATCACAGGGAATGGAATGGAGACTAGAACAACCAGGCACCAGATATAGACTGAATCACAGGGAATTGAATGGAGACTAGAACAACCAGGCACCAGATATAGACTGAATCACAGGGAATGGAATGGACACTAGAACAACCAGGCACCAGATTTAGACTGAATCACAAGGAATGGAATGGACACTAGAACAACCAGGCACTAGATATAGACTGACTCTTTGGAAACCGGATGAAAACTTTTTGAACAAAGTGGCAACAGGTAGAGACTGAATCTCTGGAAACCAGATCGAGATTAAAACAACCTGGAACTGAATCCCATGGAAAGGGATGAAGACTAAAGACCATTACTGATTATGTCTTCAGTGGACAGCACAAAAGTTTGCTTAAAACCAACAGAAAAAAGAACACAATAGGATGTATTTCTATGAAAGTTTTGAAATTTTTTATATGTGTTTGTGGAGGTATACTTTATGCCTTACAATATTATATTTATAGTAGGGTTATGAATCTTGGTTTGATTTCCAATATAATAATGGATTCTAAAGTTTTAATCACTGACCTTAAACCATTTTAATTTGTCCAGATTCTGCTAACATGTGTGATCTCTAAAGATTAAATCAGGGATACAGGCAGCTTTTATCGTAGGGGTGATTGCAGAACTCTTATGAGTCATCTTTGTGGTTCTTCGCTCAAGAGGAAATTTTGTGGTTTTGATTTTTGTCGTTCAATTTCTTGTTTCACAGTTCAAATAATTACTCATTTTCTTTCTGTTGCCTGGAAAATAAAATAAATCCGGGTCAAGGTCATTTGTGGTCAAAGGTCAAAAGGGGTCACAGCTATATCAGTTACATAATGACATGAGTGATGGTTGGATTTCATCTCAAAGCTTTTAACAGCACACACAAGGTCTTAATGACATGAGACATATTGGTTCAATTTGCATCCTATTATCAAACCGGGCTTCAATGTACAATTCATTGGAAGCAAACTGATTTTTTTTTCACATACATTTAGAAATCTTTCATTTTCATGGTAAAAGAGCAAAAAGCCTGTTTGAGCTTCTACGAACAAAAAATTCTTCTTGTATTTATTCGGTCTTGAAAAATCTAATAATTACGTCACCAAGGAAGCTTTCTAGATATGGGTCATCATCTGTCAACAGATAAGTTTATATGTACTTTAAGTACAGTCACTTGTGTGCTTGCTTTAAAAATGCCAAGAAGCTTAACCTAAATTGTCACTCCTTATGGTAGAGTTTAATGTATCCTGAGAATAGGGAAAAAAGTATAATGCATTAGGCTTGTTGTTAAGATCACCTTAAACTAAGCATGCTGTCATTGAGGATGTCATTCTTCCAGAACAAAGATAGCTCTTGGCCTTAATTTTGAAAATCAATGTCTTTGCTGTCCTAAGAAGCTGGTAATTTGGTAATTTCAACATCTTAATAAAATTTGTGACGATTACATGATACCAATACAGGCAGAAGCTGATCCTACTTATGAAGGTTGATGTGTTATATTCGTTGACCTTAAATCTTCTCAATATTCATTACCCAAGCTGTCAGTGACAACTCCGGTGACAAGGTGATATATAGATAGAAAAGACGAGAATGTTTTAGTCCCAACACCGAGATACTGTTAGCAGTTGGTATGGATGCATACTGGTGTTTTGTTACGGTAAAACCCTGTGTCGATCAATTGTCCAACAGTATGCATCATTAGGTAATTCCATTTCTACTTAATTTTCTGATGCCGAAAGACATTTAACAATGTCGTCAAAACAAAATTATATTGGCAAATTAAGCTGCTGTTACCAAATTGCTTTGCACAAGAATTATGTCACTTTAAAAGCAGTTATATTGAAGTATGATATAGACATATTTCCTGTGATTTCAGTTTTCCTGGGAATTGTATACGTATCCATGGTGATAATGTCTCTGGTAATATTAGGGGAAGGAATGGTTGGCTCAGATTGTTGTTGAAGGAATTTTAAGATATCTGGGGAAACCTACTTGATTGGGCATTTGACCCTGATACCTCTTCACATCTGATCAAGAAATCGAACCTCAGTCAACCTGATGATAGCCGACTGCGTTACCATTGTCCCACCCAACAAAGATTTTAGACAAT